AGAGGAAGGCACTAATGCCTTTGTGCTCTGGCCATAAAAGGTTGTTGCACACTGGCATATCCCAACCAGTTAATACCTTTCATATTACAAGAAAGCAGAACTATCAATTCAGATGTATGGCTTTTAAACTGGTGTTGGTGCATGTATTAACAAAATGTTTTGCAAATGTTTATGCTCATTTTAGACAGGTAGTTACACCAGGTAGAGTGCTGTATGCTTTCATCTCTTTGGATGAATATTTGTTAAAAGTTTTGGCGTAAGATGAAAATAAGTTGTTTTTCCTCAGCTCTTAGGAACTGAAAATTCTTGGTTGTTGTTTAAATTGAATGTATACTTTTATCTTACTTTTCAGTAGTTTGCATATATTGCCTCAATTCTTTTTTGTCAAATATAGACTCAAAACTGTTGTTGACAATCTGCAAGAAAAAGTAAGTTTAAACAAGTCTGACAGGATTTGTCAGCTTTTATGCTATTTCTGATGCTTAGATATCTTGGTTTAGGGGAGAATTATTATGTGGATAGTGAAATATTGAATCAGTTCTCTGCTGTCAAAGGTCTTTCAAAACTCTTGACTACATATTTACCCTCAGCTCTGTGCTGTGTAGCAACGAAGGTAGAAAATTCTATTAAAAAGATAACATTGTTCCAGGCAAAAAGCAGTGTTGTTGAAGGTTGCACCTGAACCTGAACCATGGATTTACCACTCCCATTTCAGAAAAATAGTAATGAGAAATATTCTTTCCTTGATAAAGGAAAATCAGGGATTCAGGGCTTCTAGAAAGATGTTTTCTCAAAGGCTGGTTCTGATTCAAGAAAACAATCAGGCTACCATAATTTATTTTGTTGGCAAGAGTTGGAGTCATGACACCTGCACTAAGAAAGCTCAGGATGGGATACTGGGCAGTCTGTCATAAATCATGCAGTTTGCCAGCTGCCTGTCAGAGGAGGAAATCCTGCGTGCAAATTTAGACCCACACAAGCGGTTGCTGGATCCAGGGGCTTGTGGATCAAGCCTTCCAATCCACCTTCAACTCCTTGGCATTATTCTTCCCAGCGAAGTGGGAAGAGTGCTATTCTCTTGAGAAACACACCTTTGTGACTTGGGCAGGAAAAGTTCATAAGTCTGATTTCTAAACAAGAAAGTGCAGCAGTAAAGTACCAATCCACCTTGTTGTCATATGAATTCAGTATATCATATTAAAATGAATGTCAGGTAATGTTTTCAAAATGAGATATCTCTACTTAGATGCTTTAAATTAAATTCAGGTGCATGAATAAAATTAGTATGCCTTTCAGGAGAACTTGGCAAATCAGTTCTCAACTGAAAGTTTCCATCTTGTACTGGCTCTGACTGCAATAGATAGATATAGCATACTAACGATAATTCACTTTTAACATAGCTGACTGCATGATGCTGTGTTTTGAATTTGTGGCTAAACCAGAGTTGATAACATGCCCATGTTTTGGCTGTTGCTGAACAGTGTTTTAGCAGAGTCAAGGCTTTCTCCTTTTTCCACTCTGCTCCCTCCGTGAGTAGCCTGGAGATAGCAGGTGATTGGAAGGGGACACAGCTTGGACAGTTTACCCAAGCTGGCCAAAGGTATATGTCAGACCATATAACATCATGTTCAGCAACAGACTCTGGGATAGATGAAGAAGAGGGGTTTTGGCTTCTGAGGTAGCTTTTGGAGACTGGCTGGGTGTCAGACTACATATGAGAAGTGGTGAGCAATTTCCTTCATTTCTCTGTTTTTTGTTTTTTAATGCTTTCTTTCATCTACTGAACTATCTTTGTCTTGACCCAGAAGCTTTCTTGCTTTTGTTCTTCCTATTTTCCCATGTTACCCAGCTGGGGTCTGGCAGTGAGCAGCTGTATGGGTGCTTGGATGCTGATAGGGGACAACCCACCACACACCTGTACACTCAGATATTTCCACTAGATTGAGAAAGAAAAAAAAGAGAAAAATTAAAAAAAACTAACTTATGGCTCTCATAGTTTTTTTTTTTCTCCTTCATAAAAGATTTCCATTAATGGCTCAAGCCATGTGTTGTGGTTTAAGCCCAGCCAGTAACTCAGAACCACACACCCACTTGCTCACTCCCCCATTTCTGCCCCTGGGATGGGGAGGAAAATCAAAAGAATGTAAATCCCACAGGCTGAGATAAGAGCAGTCCAGTAACTAAGCTACAATATAAAACCACTCCTGCTACCACTAATAATAATAATGATAAGGGGAAAAACAAAGTGAGAGAATATAAAACTAAAAAGAAAAGAAAAACCAATAAACACAAGTGATGCACAGTACAATTGCTCACCACCTGCCGACTGATACCCGGCCTAACCCAAGCAGTGATCTGTGCCTTCTGAGTAACTCCCCCCAGTTTATATACTGGGCATGACGTGCTGTGGCATGGAATACCCCTTTGGCTAGGTTGGGTCAGGTGTCCTGTCTCTGTTTCCTCCTGACTTCCCCTGCTCCCTGGCAGAGAATGAGAGACTGAAAAGTACTTGATCAGAGTAAGCATTATTTATCAACAACTAAAACATTAGTGTGTTATCAGCATTGTTCTCAGTCTAAAGACAAACACAGCACTGCACCAGCTGCTAAGAAGGAGAAAAACAACGGTTACAACTGAACCTAGGGCACCACAGTTTCTAATTCTAAAGACAAATTAATTTCTTGTAATACAGACTTTTCTCACAGTATGTTTTATTGTTATGCTTTTATCTCTATTTATTTACTTATTGTTCTGTGTAAGAAAGCTTTTTGGAAATCACCTGTTTCTGGACAAATTGAACACAAAACATCATAATGCATGAAAGGATGGCATATACTAGAATGTGGGTATAACTAAAGCAAGCAAACCTTATGCTTTGAGTGCAGAAAGGCACAGATTTTTGCAGATCTGAATAACTAAGATACAGGTGACTGTCTGAGTAAATAATATTCTATCTCTTGTGAAGTTGAAATGTATCTACAGAGTAAACGAAAACCTAGGAAAGCTGTCCTTCATCACTTTTTGTATTGAGATAATTCCTTCTGTGAACAGGTTCATGGTATCAAAGCATCACTGAATTCACTGTGCCCCTGCAGACCTTGCTAGCTCTGATTAAGTCAATCTGCATAAGCATGAAAGTAACAGGGAATGTATGTGGAAGGGAGGCAAGGAAAAAAAAGAAAATCCCTCTCCAAGAGAGAAAGTAATTTGCTCATGGCGAAGTGCACCTGAAGAGGCTTGTGGCCAGTGATGATTTGGTGGACTTTTGGTTGAGTGACCTTTAGAAAGATAAAAAAGAAAGGATGGGATACTGGAGTGTATAATCACCATACTTTAAGATAGCTTTTCCAAATATAAAGTTATGTAGACACAGATTCTAGATGGCTGAAACCCTTTGAAAAGTCCTTGATCCAAAAATAACGCATTTTATAAATTAGGTGTGAAAAAATCTTTGAAAGAAGCAGAAATAGGGTGGTTTGAGTACCTTGCAAAATGTTTTTTCCCCTCTTCTTCAAAGGAAAACACATTCTTACAGAATTCTACTAGTTGTTATGTTTTGTTTTGAAACTACTGTACTTTAGTTAAAGTTTTGTTGATCATTGAATCATAGAATCATAGAATAGTTAGGGTTGGAAAGGACCTTAAGATCATCTACTTCCAACTCCCTTGCCATGGGCAGGGACAAATCCTAAATTATTCATTCTTTTCAGTATTAACTTGGTTTAATGATTATGAGTACGTCATTTGTAAAAAATTCAGTCACTTAATTTTAGCCATCTATATTTTCGTGTGAAAGGTAAGCATCATGTAGGAAACTTGTAAAAAGCTACCTGTTGTGATTTTCTTAGTGTTATTAAAATACATGATGAAATACCAGTTCATCAAGTATATTATATATATTTATATATTTAATAATTTTAAAGCAAAGCATCATTTATAATTCTAAAGCTGAAGAAATATGTTTGCAGGTATTTATATAAAAAGTATTTTCATATGTGTCCTGGGTTCAGCAGTAGCAGTCATTTTTTCTCCTTCTTAGTAGCTGGTGCAGTGCTGTGGTTTTGACTTTCGGCCTGGGAACAGAGCTGATAACACCGATGTTTTTAGTTGCTGCTCAAATGTTTAGTCTGGCCAAGGACTTTCTGAGCCTCATGCTCTGCCAGGGAGGAGGGGAAGCCAGGAGGAAGCAGAGACAGGACACCTGACCCAGACTAGCCAAAGAGGTATTCCATACCACAGCACGTCATGCCCAGGATGTAACTGAGAGTTACCTGGAAGGGCTTGTTCACTGCAGGGTTGGACCACATATCGGTCGGTGCTTGGATCGGCGGATGGTGAGGTGTTGTATTCTCTTCCCTTGTTATTTCCTTTATCATTATTACTATTGGTGGTAGCAGTAGTGATTTGTGTTATACCTTAGTTACTAAACTGTTCTTATCTCAACCCATGGGAGTTGCATTCTTTTGATTCTCCTCCCCATCCCTCTGGGAGCAGGGGGAAGGCAAGGGGGGGTAGGGGTAGGGGGTGTGAGAGAGATACTGCGTGGCTGACTGTGTTTAAACCATGACAATATGGTTCTGATAGATACTTTTAAATTGGAATATATTTCACTGTAGATGATATTTGATTTTATTTTGTTTTGAGGAAGTGAATATCAGTGTATAGATGGAAGGGCAAATTCTTAAATGGCAAACTTCTCAGGGATGGGAGCATTGTTTCTTGATAGCTGAGTTGTGCTGTGTTGTTCTCATGCTCCATAAATATGTTCTGCAAATATTGCAGTTACTACTTGTCATATTTATTGCATTTTTTCTATATTTACTACATTTTTAAAGATACTGAAATACAGAGTAGATCAGCCAATGACTAAACCTTGAATCTTAGACATCTGCGATTTTTTTGTTTGTTTTGTTTTCTAAATTCCTTTTCCTAACCGTATTGTCTGAGGTATTATCCATCAGTTGTTTTTTGTGTGCTCACATTCATGCACTACATTGCAGGTCAGTTCCTTCTAGAAGAATCCCGCCTGATAGAAGCGGCTGAGATGGCAAAAAAAGCAGCTGAACTGGATAATACAGAATTTGATGTTGTTTTCAATGCAGCCCATATGCTCAGGTTAGTGCTTTTGCATCCACCTTACTTGATTTTCCTCCCCACTTTTAGAGGAAAAAAAAAGTCTTTACTGCTTTCGCTTACACAGGGTCCTTTTTAAAGCCCAGCAACTCTTTTGAATAATTCAACATTGCAATTAAGATAAAAAGAATTGGACTGAAACTGTTGCAGGATTTAGCACTTTCTATTTCTGATTTTCTATGCCTTATCTTGTAATTTCTTACGTCTAAAATTTCTGTTCACAAGCAGTTAATCCTTTTTGCTTACACACAAGAAAAAGTGGGGGGTTTGTGAAGAACCATCTGCAGAATTTTCTTTTACCTGATTTTAAAAAATTTAGATTGCATAGCAATTGAAAATAGTAGAGTGATCTGGGTGTAACTAGGGAATATTGAAAACACAAGATTTTATATTAATAACAGTAGGGGACAGTACAATAATTAGAAATCTAAATATTGCCAGGCTAATTATGACTTAATTATGACAGTAAGGGTTGAGGGCTGCCTTGGTTGCAGCTACCACGAGATGGTGGAATTCAGGATCTTGTGTGGTAGGACCAGTAGAATACCAAGTAGAATTGCAACCCTGGACTTTAGCAGGGCAAACTTTGGCCTTTTCAAGCAATTGCTAGGGGAAATCCCATGGGCAAGGCTGTTTGACGGTAAAGGGGCCCAAGATAGTTGGTTGGCATTCAAGGATTGCTTTTTCCAAGCACAAGATCGGAGCATCCCGACACGTAGGAAGTCAAGGAAGAGGGCCAAGAGACCTGCGTGGTTAAATAGGGAATTGCTGGGTATGCTCAAGTGGAAGAGGAGAGTTTACAGGTCATGGAAGGAGGAGCTGGCCACCTGGGAGGAATATAAGGCTGCTGCTAGAGGATGTAGGAAGGCAGCTAGGATGACTAAGGCCTCCTTAGAATTAAACCTGGCGAGAAGGGTCAAGGACAGCAAAAAGAGCTTTTTCAAATACATGGCTGATAAAACTAACACCAGAGGCAATGTAGGCCCACTGATGAATGGGATGGGTGCCCTGGTGACAGAAGATACAGAGATGGCAGAGTTACTGAATGCCTTCTTTGTCTCTGTCTACTCTGCTGCAGGCAGTCCTGAAGAGCCCTGTACCCCTGAGACCTTAGATGAAGTCAGGTCAACGGAGCGGTTTGCCTTAGTCAATGAGGAATGGGTTAGAGACCGGTTGAGCAATCTGGACATCCATAAATCCATGGGTCCAGATGGGATGCACCCGCGGGTGCTGAGGGAACTGGCGGAAGTCATTGCTAGGCCACTCTCCATCATCTTTACCAAGTCTTGGGAAACGGGAGAGGTGCCTGAGGACTGGATGAAAGCAAATGTCACTCCAGTCTTCAAAAAGGGCAAGAAGGAGGACCCGGGTAACTATAGACCTGTCAGCCTCACCTCCATCCCTGGGAAAGTGATGGAACACCTTATCCTTAGTGCCATCTTAAGGCATATCGAGGATAAGAGGGTTATGAGGGGCAGTCAACATGGCTTCACCAAGGGGAAATCATGCTTGACCAATCTCTTAGCCTTTTATGAGGAAATAACACGATGGATGGATGATGGCAGAGCAGTAGATGTGGTCTACCTTGACTTCAGCAAAGCATTTGACACAGTCTCCCACAGCATCCTCACAGCTAAATTGAGGAAGTGTGGTCTCGATGATCAGGTAGTGAGGTGGACTGTGAACTGGCTGAAGGAGAGAAGCCAGAGAGTTGTAGTCTATGGGGCAGAGTCTAGTTGGAGGCCTGTATCTAGTGGAGTGCCTCAAGGGTCAGTACTGGGACCAGTATTATTTAATATATTCATCAACGATTTAGATGAGGGAATTGAGTGTACTATCAGCAAGTTTGCTGATGACACTAAGCTGGGAGGAGTGGCTGACACGCCAGAAGGCTGTGCTGCCATCCAGCGAGACCTGGACAGGCTGGAGAGTTGGGCAGGGAGTAACTTGATGAAATATAACAAGGGAAAGTGTAGAGTGCTGCATCTGGGCAGGGACAACCCCAGGTTCCAGTATAGGTTGGGGAACGACCTGTTAGAGAGCAGGGTACGGGAGAGGGACCTGGGGGTCCTAGTGGACGATAGGATGACCATGAGCCAACACTGTGCCCTTGTGGCAAGAAGGCCAATGGCATCCTGGGGTGTATTAGAAGGGGGGTGGTTAGTAGGTCGAGAGAGGTCCTCCTTCCCCTCTACTCTGCCCTGGTGAGACCGCATCTGGAATATTGTGTCCAGTTCTGGGCCCCTCAGTTCAAGAAGGACAGGGAGCTGCTGGAGAGAGTCCAGCGCAGGGCAACAAAGATGATTAAGGGAGTGGAGCATCTCCCTTATGAGGAAAGACTGAGGGAGCTGGGTCTCTATAGTTTGGAGGAGACTGAGGGGTGACCTTATAAGTGTCTATAAATATATAAAGGGGGAGTGTCACGAGGACGGAGCCAGGCTCTACTCAGTGGCAAACAATGATAGGACAAGGGGTAATGGGTACAAACTGGAACACAAGAGGTTCCACTTAAACTTGAGAAGAAACTTCTTCTCAGTGAGGGTGACAGAGCACTGGAACAGGCTGCCCAGGGAGGCTGTGGAGTCTCCTTCCCTGAAGACATTCAAAACTCGCCTGGACACATTCCTATGTAACCTTATCTAGGTGTTCCTGCTCCAGCAGGGGGATTGGACTAGATGATCTTTTGAGGTCCCTTCCAATCTCTAGCATACTATGATACTGTGATACTGTGACTTTGAGACTCACAGTAGCACTTAGTGATGTTATCAGAATCTGTGATTTATTGTTATATTTAATCCTGTTGTCCTATTCAAATAGAATAAAAATTTAGACTATTTTTTTTCCTTTTAAAGCTGTCAGACCCAGATATGCAGTAGCATTAAGCTTCTACCTGAATATTATCATTAAATTCACATTACCGTAATAGGTATCCTCCATGCTTATTTCTAGGATAACTGTCTAATTATCGTCTATTGTCCGCTTAACAGCTACGAGGCTACTTGGTTTCATTTAGATTGTGTCTATTCTTAGAAAATGGATAAAAAGGGAAATAAAAGATACAATTCATCATTAACGCAAGCCAATTATTGAAATACTTTGTCTGATGAAGGTATCTCACTTGGCTGTTTATACTTTTAATGCTTAGGATATGAAATGAAAAGAAAATGTTATTAAAGAGCAGGTAGAATTGACTTTAGCCAAGCAGCCTGTGTTTCAGAATGAAAGTTTCTATACCAGGATTTTGAAATAAGCCCCAAAATACCCTTTGAGAAATAATTCTCGTTGCTTGTAGATTAGAAAGGAAACCAAGACAAGATGGTTAACTGGTAAACAACAGTTTGACCTCCCACAGGTATATGAGCTATTTTAAAGATCCTTCCCTTCCCCCTGATTATTCTCTGAATTATATCTCTCAAGATAGAATTCAGTAGTTTGAAACATTTAGATTAATGAAACAAATTCACTGACAGAAGCATAGCAAGTTAGGTATGAAAACTGAATCCAAAACAGTATAAAGTGTGCCAGTCTCCTGACTTCAGTGAGTATGTTGTGGAAGTGAGTATGTATGTTTCATGGTATGACTGTGGGTATCTTAAAATGCGGTGACATAGATCAATATTATTTTGGGGGTAACTGCAATAAGTCTCTTACTTCCTCTCTGAGCACTTAGTGAGGCATCCCAGGTTTTAAAGGTATGTCTTTACATTGGGATATGAGTTATTTTTTGACTCTCAGAGTTAGAGCTACATGGCTGTACTGTATACGTCAGCCATGGTTACCCTTCTTGTTCTGGTTGGGAGTGGACACTTTTTGAGAAACTTTGACCAGCATTGAGCTCAGTGATTCTAAACTGTCAGCCAAAAACCAAAAAAGAACCTCTAAAAGAAAGAAAACCCATCAAACCAAACCCCTTAAAAGCAAAACAAAATTAAAAAAAAGGCCCAGTGGTTTTGTTTAGCTAGAATCCAACTGTGGTCCTTAGGGATATCCAGTTGGTCTGATTTTTCACTTAAATGCTCATCTTTCTTTGTGGAAGATGATAATGCCTTCCTAATATGCTTTGGGAGTCTAAAGTGGTCTGAAGGATTTAGCAAGAATTAGGGTGGCAAAGTGAAATTCAGTGCTGCCAAGTATTTGCTTAAAACCCTGTGTGTTATGATCTGTCTGATTTTAGCTAAAACATGATTCTGTTGTCTGCCTTTGTTCACTGCTTAGTAATTTATTCAATATACTGCTTACATAATATCTGCTGGACAAGAGGAATGTATATTCATATGTTAGGACAAAGCAGCTACAAATCCATCATGAGTCTGGGGGACTTCAGAAGCTGATTTTCAAAATATTTAGAATGATGGAGAGCTGAGGTGATTCCAAGAGGAAAGCAGATACAAGGATACAACAGAGGGAGGAAAGAAGGAAGTACTCAGACTGACATAGAGTGACACAACTCGAAACTGTGGGTGCTAACACTCATAAATGAAAGGACAAAATTATTAAATATATTAATTTCACGTAGGTGACCAACTGCTCTTTAGGTACCTTAGAGAGCTATAAAAACTGACTAGTGAGTAAGAATTTTGAATGGACTTCACAGCTGTGAGGTAGAAAATACATTACAGAAGTTTACAGGGCATGGAAGTGAATTCACTGTTGTGAGAGAGAAGGGATAAATTTTAAAATGTGTTGTAGAATAAGAGATAAAAAACGATTTTAATGTGGGCGGTGCAAGGTTTCCAGAATGACTGGGAAGTAATAACTAGTTGTAATAGCAATTTACATTTGTGTGTAAATTCTAATTAATTTTTTTTCAGACCAAGTACTCTTTGCAGTGATGTTCTGCTGTAATAGAAAGGAGCCATCTTTTCTCCCTGCCGTACTCCTGTTTCTGCCATTAGCCCAAAGAGTGTCACAGGATTCAGAAACATGCAGACATTTCTTCACAATTGCAGGCAAATTCTTTAAAACTTGGGTTACAGCTGCTTTGAGTAAAACCAATCACAACATGCCTTCCAAGTCGATTATTCTTCTACTAAAATGTTTTTCTTTTCCTTTCGTTGAGAAAAATTTTTAAATTAAAATGCAACCTGAATAAAGAAATACCAGGTTTAGTAAATTTTTAACTGGTATGCTGCAGGTTAGTTTTATTTGGTTTGTTGAGGGTTAGTTTTATTTGGTTTGTTGAGGTTTTGTTTTTTTTTTAATTTGTAACAGAATTGTTAGCTGTGTCCAGATGCAGTAAGTGTATTTATAGATGGTCTGTTCTCAGTTTAGCAGTCACAAGAAAGACTTCTGTTCCATCAGGTATTCTAACACTGTTTACTGCCTCTCTTTGTGACTAAATCTGAAACCGAAACCAAGACAAAAACCAAGTTAGATCTGTATGCATTATTAAGACAACTCCCTATTCCTAATTACACAAGCATAGTTATTAATTTTTTGCTGAGATGACTTCTGTTGGATCCTGATAATGCAGTGCCAGATGAATCAAGTCATCTGTAATAGGGATGAGATATGGAATGAATGTAATTAATATCTTTGCAACAGTCCGGTAACTTATAACTTGCCTAATACTTGCCTGTAAAATTTTTTTCTCAACAAATTTGTTTTCTAGACAGCTTCATTCAAGGGTCATCTTTGGGTGGTTCATCTTAAAACAGTAACTGGTCACATGTTTTACTTTTGTAGTGTTTGCTATGCTCTTTTGCTTATAGGAGTTTGAAGCCTTTTTGGCAGATACATTTTGTAAGAATATATGGAAGTGTATATTTGTAATGCCATTTGGTGGCCATAGTTGGGGTGACTAAGTTATGTATTAACAGTACTAAGTGAAATTTCACTTTGCATACTGAGGTGAGCTGCCATGCGATAGGTTTCCTGTGATCTAGGGAATAATTACTTTTAGAATGAGGAATGGCAGTGTGATGATACCACTGTACTAATTATAAACAGGAAAAGTGCTTCACATTGTCTCCAAATGCGAACAAACACACGAAAAAGAACCTTGCTTAGAAGCATATTTTGTAGGAACAATTGGTTCTTTTCACACTTCTTGAAGTGGGTTGTTCTGGGAAACACTTATATTACATGAAGTTACAGCATGCTTATTGGCTATTTGAAAACAGAAGTCTGAATTAGAGCAATGCTACATGACATTGTCTTTGGTTTTTCAGTGTCATTGTCTAAACAGACTTTATTAATTCTTTAATTACTGCCCATGTGCTTAAATACATATATGCATGTATGCATGGCTAAGTTTATAGTCTATATAAATTTTGTAACTCTAGGTCTATGTAAATTTTGTATACAAAGAATTTGCATTAAGGTCTACATGTATAGAATATGATTATGACTTTGTTGTGACACAAAAAGGTCCATTAAGAATGCTAAGTATCAACATTCGTATTTTAAAATAGGAATCTCTTTGAAGATTGATCGTTATTGCTGGACTGACATGCATGATTTCACATTGAAAACCCCCAAAACAGACTAAGGCCTTATACAAAGCAATAGACAGGTTAAAATTCACTTGTTTATGTGTCTGAACCAGTCAGCATTGATGGTAGTTTTCTCTTAAAGCAATATGTTTTCCAGTGATCAACATAAAGATTCAAAATAAATGCAAGCTGAATGTAACTGGGTATCAGGAGACCCGAAGAGCGATGTCTTGTCAAGCACGTTTATGAGGTGTCACTGGCAGTCAGCTGGAACAGAAACCAGGGAACTGTTAGGTCTGAAGGCTCAGGTTAAGATATATGAGAGAATAAAAAGAAGAGACATTTTTGTCCCTTACAGTAAGATTGAGTACTAGGTGTTAATGGATAAAATCAGATGTATTTTCAAGGTCAGTCCCCATGAAGAGATTTAGGATGCAGGTTAAAATATAACTTGCAACTATGAAAAGTACTGTCTTCCAGACTTGCCTTTGCTTCTTTTCTTCCATTCTGTGTAATTATCAACATTTTATCTAATGTTTTACTCTAATATGAATTATGATTCCTTTAGTAGTGTCCTTCCATTGTTTGACATTGATCCAGGGCCCTTTACTGCTCAGTGGCGTAAGGTTACTGCAATTTTCTGCCTCTGTGCCTTTAATTTTTCTCAAGGGAAAGCCATTCCAAGGCTTAACATAATGAATTTCTAGTTTACATTTCCAGTGAAAGTGGGAACCAGAATTCTGCTGTATCTTAACTAAAGGAGCTGTTGCTGAATGCCCCAGAAATGGAAGTGGCATTTTCCTCACTGGTTTACTGTGGTGTGCATTCATTTCTATAAACCATTTTTAATGGAGAGCTATAATTTTAAACTGATTTCAACTCAGGAATTAATGATCCATGTTTCAAAATGTACATGTGGGAGGAAAACAAACCATGTATTTCCACTGGGCTAAAAGGAGACAGGATTTTAATTTGTTCAATGTTCACATGCCAGCACCACTTTTTGGAGGTGAAGTGTACCATCTGTATCTGCCTCCTGGGTCAGGCACCTTGTTTGTTCAGAATTTAACCACGTTCAGAAATGCTTTGTTTCCTGACAGCTTTGTGAAAACAGGAAAAAGAAGGGAGGAAAAAAAAACGCTCTGTGACATCTTTCATTATTTTATCCTATGTGCCATGTAGTAAATCCTGAAATTTGGAAGTATAAGATTTCCCCCTGCCCCCCCCACCAAGTTGTTTCAAGTACTACTAATGCTCAGCAGGAGTGATTCAGAAGCAGGTTATGTGACAGGTTAAATTTTTAGACATTCAGTCATTAGATATTCCTAACCACTGGAACCGCTGAGTCAATGATACATGTGCAAAGTAATTTAAAACGGTTAACAGGTATAAACCAGGTACTACTTGGGAAATTGTTAGTCAAGAAGTGGTTTCAGCTTGCACGTGAATTATGTGGGAAACTTCAAAGCGATTATCCTTCTTCCCTTTCTCCTCCCAAGACCAATAACTGTCAAAATGTGTTGATTTGGATTAATTACCTATCATGTATTATGTGGCTAATTGTTTAAAATTTGGATGGATGGGAACATAAAATTAGAATACAATTTGATCACTGAATAACAAAGCATGTAAAATCTCCTGTAATGAACAAAGTAAAATCTCCAGATACAAGTGCTCAGTTGATTGATTAATACACTGTGAGCTAGTAACTGTTTCTGGAATCAGAAGAAAAATTAAAAAATGAAAAAACAACCAACTCTACTCAGTGCTTAATGTTATCCTTGTTTTCCAATTTTCCATTATGTATCACAGAAATACATCTGTAATTGCATAATAAACACAAATAGGCTGAAAAACTCCTGTCCTAACTCCCGTATGAAGGGAAATAGCTATTCATATAAAAAAAAAGTAAAAAAAGATCAAATAAAAAGCAAATAACTTTAGCAGAAGATAGGTAGCCTGCCTGATAGTTCTGCTTGAGTATTCTTACATATTTAACATCCGTCTCATGATATGTATGTGTTTGACTGATATACATTGGATCAGTAGCCAAAATGAATAGTTGGAGGGAAATTAAGAACAAGACAAAAGAAGGGAGGAATTTGAGAGAAGAAAGAGGCCTATTGAGACAAAAATGTGTTTGAATTTCTGTGTCAATATATTTCATTTTCATTTGAACGCATTAAAGTGAAAACTCAAGGGAACAAATAAAACTTAAACTAGTATGAGAATATAGATGCCAACTATACTGATAGTGCTTCCCATACCAAGAAACTCATTTCATTCTCCTGGAATACGAGAGCTAAGCTTAAATTCACTCTCAGACTGATTTGCGTAAATGTTGATATCAAAACTCTACCTTCTGAATGAATTCCCTGCATCCTGAAAACCCATTTTTGAAAAATCATTGTATTCTCTGATTTTATTTTCTTTTCCTTTTTTTTTTTTTTTCCCCTTCTGGAATAATAGGGAGGCACAATGAAAGGGACTGCATTATTGTATAATCTACAGCTTCATAATTTACTGTGAAAGTATGGCTAATTACAAGAAACAAGCCAGATTTTCTTGTGGTGGGGACTGGTATGTCTCTGGTTTTGTCTCAGCTGAGTTTTTTTGCCTTCTTCATTTCTCTCCTGTGTGTACTTATATAATTTTAGAACTAAAAAGGAAATAAGGTAGGAAAAGAGAAATCTTTGGACATTATGGGCTATAAAAAATATCTTTCAGATTGACATACTTTTTGCATTTGTTACGGTTATATCCTTAATCAATGAGGAGTAGTTGCAGTATTTTGGTTTTAGCTATGCTTTATTAGGTATGGTTTTTTTTTTAACCCAAGGAAAATCAGGTGTAACTGCATTGGCTTTTTCTGTCCTGATAGACAAGCCAGTCTCAATGAAGAAGCTGAGAAGTATTATGAAATGGCAGCAGGATTAAGACCTAATGTAAGTACCTTCTTAATGATATCCATTACATAAATTGATGAACGTGCCACAGTGCTGAACCCTTTGTGATCAAGGAGAAACTTCGGCCTATATTATTTATGATGTTTTAATGGTTAATTATTGGATAGTCAGATAAAGGTGTTCCTTTGTCAAACCAATCCCTGTACTTTTAAGTTACCTAAGTGAACTGTTCTAGCAACAAATCTTACTTTGCTAACATAGTCGGAAAAGATTTATTTATGTACCTTTAAGTGTGTTGAGTTTGGAAAGCTTTCCTAATTCCATCTATTTTCACTAGTAAAAGAGAATGTAGGGCAATTCTATGGTCCACTGTATAAGGTATTTTCAACAATACATTTTGCGCCTTTTCCTCTGTCATGAACTTCTGGCAAACCTTGTTATTCAACAGTTAAAGATGATTTTACCTCAGAGCTATTTACCTCTGAGATTGTTGTATATTGGCAAAGAAAAGCTTATTGCTTGAAGCAGAAATATGTGACAGACCCTTCTTAAAAAGAAAAGCTTATTTCCAATCTTATTGCATCAGGAACTAAGGAAACAAAATATTTTCTTTTTGCAGTTTTTTACTCAATGTTATATTTCTTTTCAATTACCTTCCATTTTGAGAAAAAATATTCATGAATATAAATGGAGCAGAATCTATTTCAAATACCTAATACTTTGTCTATGCAATAAATCAAATGTAGAGCACATTCCTGTCTCAGAATCTATAGTGCCAAATTTGAGGATGCAAATTAACAATTTCAGTCAAGTGAAAAAGAAAAAAATGTTAAAAAATAACAGGCTTAAAATGAAAGAGTTTTCAGAGCTAAGAGTTAAAAGCAACACCAGCCAAGACTCAACACATGTTAACAAAATATAATCCCCATAACCCAAAATAAAAATAACTTGTTTGTATGAAATTGCACACTTTTACACCATCTCATAAAAAAAAACAAAAAAACCAAATAAAAACTGAAACTAGCCAAAACCAAAACTCAGAAAATCTGTGTATTTCTTTAGTTCCTACTTTGTGAGATAACAGTTTAGACTTTGTGACTCCGTATGCTTTCAGATGCAAGAATTTTTGTTTTTTTTTTTTCTGTATGGATGCCCTAATATTGAACGAATTCCCTCAATTGCCTGAAAGTTGGTACAATTCCTCTTCTCTTTTCTGTGGTTCATTGTACTCTCAAAATCTTTGAATGTATTCCTGAGTTTCTGATATTTGTATAAAGCCATATATGATTATATGTGTGAGGTTTCTCAGAGAGCTTTGGAAACAACTGAGGTTTTCTAGCTGATGGCAGTGGTACAATTACAGAGTGGTATTTCTAGGTATAGCTGCCAAGTTTTACTTGTTAAGACTAAAGTGTCCTTTTTGCTGGATGGGACCATCAGAACAGTTTTTTAGAGCAACTTGCATTTAATTTTGATTAGTTTAAGTAAAAATCTAATAAGTAAGTGCTGCTTCAGCTTTCTTTACAAATCACAGAATCGTAGAATAGTTAGGGTTGGAAAGGACCTTAAGATCATCTAGTTCCAACCCCCCTGCCATGGGCAGGGACACCTCACCATAGACTGTGTTGCCCAAGGTTCTGTCCTACCTGGCCTTGAACACTGCAAGGGATGAAGCATTTACCACTTCTTCAGGCAACTTGTTCCAGTGGCTCACCAAACTCACAGTAAGGTTCTTCCTTATATCTTACCTGAACCTCCTGTGTATGTTTGAACCTGTTACCCCTTGTCCTGTCACTACAGGTCCTAATGAATAGTTCCTGCCCAGCATCCCTATAGGCCCCCTTCAGATACTGGAAGGCTGCTATGAGGTCTCCACGCAGCCTTCTCTTCTCCAGGCTGAACAGCCCCAACTTTCTCAGCCTGTCTTCATACGGGAGGTGCCCCAGTCGCCTGATCATCCTCGTGGCCCTCCTCTGGACTTGTCCCAACAGTTCCATGGCCTGTTTATGTTGAAGACACCAGAACTGCACACAGGACTCCAAGTGGGGCCTCATGAGACATAATTTCACTTTTATGTTCAGGATGATAAAGTTTCTAGCTAAGCATAGCATACATATGGTTCATGACTATTTAAAACTACTTTAATGATGCAGAGTGGGGAGGATATTAGTTTTCAGTGCCAGCGTCAACCATCTGATGACTGTACAAGAGCAATCTCTCAAGAATGAAAATAAAGCCAAAAGTAGTCATGCATATCTTTTCTCTTACTATTAGCTCTCAAATTTTCCATAATAGTTTCAGAATGGGAGGAAAAGAAGCCACTCATGGAATTTTTCTAGGTAGTAAGCAATATGATGCAGATATGGTTAAGACAGAATCTCCCGACCTTTCCAAAAGAGTGTGGAATGCAAATTAGTCAAATCCTGTGTGCTTCATTGTTGCGTCTGCACTGGTAAATTAAATGTGGCCAGGACTGTTCTCTAGTGTTGATTGAACTGGCTTATTTGAGTGTTCTCAGGTACTGTCTGAGAGACTGCAAGTGGCCCAGTCCACAGTTACATTTTTTATTTTGGATATAGCCTCTGTATTTTCTCACTGTTTTATGAAAATGGAGGTTCAGCAAAATTATGTGAGTCAAGATGCTAAAGAAATATCTTAATCAAAATATAGTGCTGAAGGATTTAATGATATATTTTTTAATCCATTATTAATGAACTAGAAACATTTCTTTGGAGATAATTCAAAGTAATAGTCGTATGAATGCGATGTAATGTAATGATGTATGCATGCATACAGTTCCATATATACACACATATCTATATAGTGTGCATCTGTTTACTGCTAATGGCTCAGAGGTGTGTTCCCAAATTCCCTCTCAGTGAGAATACTGTGGCAGTGCTGAAGTCTCATTCTGTGCAGTGGATCAGCCTTGTTGCTAGAATAATTAAGTGCTAAAAGCATCCGTTTAACAAGAACCTTCCATCTTCCAGTGCTTGGCAATAAGGAATTGTTGATCAGGATCCCAAATAAACTGGCTCTCTGCTTTTTTTCAGCATGATATTTTTTCATCCTGTGGTTCCCCAGTCACTCTTCCAGATTCCAAGTTGAAAATCCATTTTTCTGTTACCAACTCCTTTCTTATTCACTCCTTTCTTATACACTGTAGTAAGACAACTAAATTTTCAGTTATTCTAAATAATTAGACCTGTGCCTAGCTCTTCAGAGATTTTCAGCTAGTGCAGCCTGAAATAAAACTCAGATTTCCCTTCTCTTGCATTACTTTCTTTACAATTATCACATCTTGTGCAATATCTCTAATATCACTACCATAAAATACCATAGAATCATAGAATAGTTTGGATTGGAAGGGACCTTCAAAGGTCATCTAGCCCAATCCCCTTGCAATGAGCAGGGACATCTTCTGCTGATCAGGTTTCTTAGAACCACATCCATCCTTAGCAGCAATGAGAGTAATACTGTGAACTCAGGCCTTTACTGATTGTTAGTGAATTTGTATGTTCATTGAGCTTTCATGACACAATTTTGTTCTTCGCATCCTTGCTTTGTTTTCCTCTTGTATCCCTTTCTTTGGTTTCTCAACTGTTCCTTTTGGTTTTGGAAGGAAACAACACTTCATAACACAATACTTCCTCCCCTGCTCCCAGATGTAGAAGCCCTTTGGATCCAGAAGCTGCTCTGCTGAGCTTTTCTACACCCAAGTCCAGTTTAAATGGCCAACTGAGTTATGGCTTTCAGAACTACTTAGTTATCTGTCTCAGTTTGTTTTTTTTTTTCCAGACAGCAGTCTTCACTCTTGCATTTGTCTCCTAAGCAAACCTTCTTTTCAGTATCTCAAGATTGGGACACAACAGTAAGCAACCAGTACGCCTTTAAGTCTGAGTCACTCTCATTTGACTAATCCATTTTTGTGAAAGTTGTGACTAAGAAGGCTAAAAACATCCCCAGAAAAATAGTATTTCCTTACAGGAGAAACCTCTCTGAAATGAGCAAGTCATTGTTTTTAAGAAAGCAGATATAAAAAGATTTTATTTTTGTAGTACTGGGTGTGATTCATTCTTCATTGAACTAATCCTGAGAGGACTGACAAATACTGAAAATACCAGTACTCTTTCCTCTGTGAAAAGCTGTATTACAATGAATGAAGTATTTGCAAAAACAGCAAAAAATTATACCCAGTAGAAGAACAACTGAATACAGTGCAGGTATGTTAAAATGTATGTCCACATCTTGAGCATCATCTTTGCTTTTGGGTATACCTTCCTTCTGCAGAGTATAAAAGAATTAAAACAGTTTGGTACAGGAGCAGCACCAGCTAAAATACAGCTTGGGTGCAAAGAAAGATCAGATCTGGCTAGTATTATTATTCCAGATTGAGATGTAGCTGTTCTCTTCATAAAGTTCATGATTGGCCTTATTTGCAGGAGGTGTGTATCTGTCCTCTGTGAAAGTAATTTCCAGTCAAATTTCAAATCAACAGTATTTTCTGTAGAATATAGTGCTGCTGCAGAGATGGGAATCATTTGTCTTAAACTTCAGTGAAGAAGCAAGCATTCTCAAGATCATGTCTGTTTATTTCCAAATAGGCTTCAGAGAGTTAACATTCCCCTGGAGAGCCAAGGGGGAAAGAGGAATCCAGAAATCAGTTCAGAGAAGTAATCTACTTTTATTTGCTATGAATCATTTCTTGCAGGACTCTCTTTTCCTCCTTCAACTCTATAGGTAACCTACAGAGATTAGCTTCCCCTAGCCCCTGGATCTTTTTTAATACTTTCAAAAAAACACATTCCTACATTGTGTGTTTACCTTGATCAAAACAAAATCATTTTAGAGCTTTCTCAGTGAGAAGCACATATGTGTTTGTTCTAACAGTGTTGGCTTGGATTTGCCTTAATCACATTAGTCTAATTTTAATAAATTCATCTGCACGAAGGAATGATACCGTGTTTTGGACAGCAAGACCTTTATGCAGTAATTATTCTGAGTGGGAGTATTGCCGAGGAAAATCTGTGTTCAGAGAT